GAAATGTATTTCAGAGTCTAAAAATTTTAGTACCCAGTATTAAAAATCTGAGTTATTATAAATTTAGAGCAGCCAAATAGTACGCCAGTGCAGAGCGGACACTTAGAACAATCTTACCTTTCATATATATTGGCTATCTGTGGAACATGAGCCTGTACTGTATGTCGAAAACCGAAATGATGTTGCTAAAAATTATGAAAGTATTACACTAATATTGTTTTAAAAATACTACAGATAGAACTTGGGATCGGATCTGATCGCTTATAATATTTCGCAATCGCATAAACTCCGAACAAAATGATAACATTGCCAAAAATATTGAATGAGGTCTTTACTCCTCTGTGTGACATTGTGGTAGGACTTTAAATAATAATTTAGGTATAATTTAATGTTCTACCACAATATCACACAGGGGACTAGAGTGAATATTTATAAAAAACAATTTGAAGGTGATTGTAACCTTAATGCTGAGTTCGAAGAATTTTAGACCGTTTCATGCGTCCAATTAATTGTTTTGTAAAAATTATTTTGGCAACGATGAAATATATTTAATTAGTTGATGTTGAATAATAATTGGTTTCTTCGAAAACCCGAGCGAACTAGACAGAGTCGAAAATGACTACTGAATACATTTTTTTATCCCAGCTTTATTAATCAAAATTCTTATTAAAAGCTTTCGCAGTTTGAAGGACAAATTACGGCATAAAGTAATCGCGTTAAAATTTGAATAATAGCATTGTGTTATTAGTTGCTCGTATTAAGTATTTTTTATGGGAAAATGAAATTCAATGGAGAGCCCCTTGAGGTGACCTAGTCCTTCAAGGCACAATCCGCTTGCCAAATTCCCAGGCGACTCCGAAACAAATCAAATGTAAAATTGCCGCTACATACAGCTGTGAATTTTCTACGCGGATAGTAAGCGAACACTCTTCAGACGTATGACACATCCACTAGACGCCGGTCTTCTGTGAGGTCGTGGTACTTATCCGGACGGACCTGCCCATTTGTACAACAACCGGGGATGTTGCGTGGCCCTAACAAAGTAAGATTTTTCTTTTATACCTCATGCAGCTGCCCGCTGATAAAACCGCTTATATGAATAATAGAGCAACGATAAACCTGTACACGGTCATCATCTTCTATTATTCGCATTGGACGAAATTTTTGAAAGCCGATATCAGATTCGACAAAGTGGTGCAATTCTGAATTGGATCTCTGCAGCCGCAATGAAAATGTCTTCTGTCTCCAAGAGATGTTTTCAATTTTCGCAATTAATAAAACTCCTATAAAGATAAAAATGTTAATCGCTTGTAAACTTTGAAGAATTTTGTCTTTATTCTTGCATATTTGTTTATATATGCCAGAATTAATAAAAACTGTGGTACGAACAAGCAGCAAGCTACTTTCTTTGGTGCTTGTCTTTGGTGCTTGTGTTAGGCAATATCATGTCATTTATTTTTCTAATATTACCAAACCATTCTAGCAGACTTTCGCACTACATCTTCTTTTAGCTCACATTATTTTTCGACGCATTCATCCGTTACACAAATGCCCAAATTGAAAACCCTGGCGACAGCGCCGTCTGACTGCTACCGTTTGTCGATAAATTAAAACAAAGCATTCCGGAGCCGGGCGGACGATAAATTTTCATAATCCGCCTCCAAATTTGACTTGCGATAAATCTTTATAATGAATTAGTCACTCATGAAAATTCAATGGAAAGCCCCTTGAGGTGACCTAGTCCTTCAAGGCACAATCCGCTTGCCAAATTCCCAGGCGACGCCGAAACAAATCAAATATAAAATTGCCGCTACATACAGCTGTGAATTTTCTACGTGGGTCGTCCCCACACGGCGAGACTTTACGCCAGTAAGCAATAGTCATTTATTACATTTAAGCGAGTTCGCACACTTTATTTCTCAACAGCTATATTGCATTATTTTAAATAGAAAAAAATAACATTGCTCCACCCTTGGGGATGGAAATGGTCACATTCGATAAATTTTTACCGCCTTTGGTCGTTTTCTGGCGGCGGGTCAGGGCAAATTACTCGCGAAAAAATTCAAAAACTAAAATTCAAGAGGCCACGCTAATAGGATTAGAACTCATCTATTATGTTCAAGTCCGCCCCCAGCGAAACCCGAAGCACCACTGTCTAACCTAACCTAACTGTATGGCAACTGCTAGGCAGTGGCTGACCAGTGTAAATGCCATCCTAAAAAGTCAGTTTTGTTCCATAGTTAGGTAAAGCCACGTCTACCTCAAAGCTATCTATATCCTCAAAATAAGTCAAAGTCGTAATTTCTTCATTCAATTGATCGTCAAAAAACTACAATCAGTTCGCTAATTTAGACCGGTCCGGAGAAGTAACTGCAAGGAAGTCTTCAGTTTTGTTCTCTTTTTTTAAATCCATACTATATCCTTACTAATATTATAAAGGCGAAAGTTTGTATGTATGGATGGATATTTGTTACTCTTTCACGCAAATACTATTGAACGGATTTTAATGAAACTTTACAATAATATAGCTTATACATCAGCTATATTGCATTATTTTAAAGTAACTCTATTAAAGTAACTCCGTCTGTCTGTCTCGCTTTGACTCCAAAACTACTGAACCGATTTAATTGAAATTTGGTACACAGATAGTCTGGGGCCTGAGAAAGGACATAGGCTAATTGGAAAAAAGAAATTAATTTAATTGGAATAAAAAGGGTTGAAAGATATTTATTTAAGGGATTCAATGCGAGCGAAGCCGCGGGCGAAAAGCTAATGATATACTTTGCAAAGTACAAAATTAGCAGCAACCAGGGGACTTGCATGATATATACATACACCGCAAAGTACAAAATTGGCGGCAACCAAGCGGAGCGAGATTCATTTTAGTATTATTTCGAAGATATGCAGTATTACCCCACTACGTTTGTTATCTCACCTTCACCGCCGAGAACGTGATCGGCGCTTAAAATTGCAATCAACAATTTCGCCGGTTTCGAGCTCAGGTTGCTCGGGTAAATAATTAAAAGCGATCGTACGATAATTGCGCTATCACGGCTATAAATAAAACAATATGCTTTCGTGTTTAGTCCTTATTGAATATCCCTTTTCTTTCAGCCATAACAATAAAGCTTCGGTACGAAATCGACTCCGGTCGCGGAAATTTTAGTTCAGTCTCGAACCATTATTGAGACCCTAACGGCCTTGAACTCTTAACTGTCTATTGCGTCACAGTTTACCATTGGTCGAGCAAAAGGCTTTTAATGCTTTTAAAAATCTATTTCCATTTAATTTTGCATCACATACTACATCAGTGGCTTGCGACACGTCTTGTTATCGTGACGTATGAAATCTGAAAACGTGCAAATTCCGTGAAGACGTCGCATTGGAATTATATAGATTAAGCAAGAAACAGCTGTTAGGTATATTATATTGTAATAAACCGATTTCGTTCTTGCGGCTTGTGCGTTAATCAAATCAACGGTGAATCTTACTACATCTTTTGATTTGCCATTTTGTTTATTATTTTGTATACATGTAAAAGCCGTGGTTTTTAGGGTTCGGCACCCCAAGGGAACACGGAACCTTATGACTAAGACTGCGCTGTCTGTCTGTCTGTCTGACTGTCTGTCCGTCTGTCACCAGGCTGTATCTCATTAACCGAGATAGTTAGACAGTTGAAATTTTCACAGATGATGTAGGTTCTTCTGTTGCCGTTATAACAAACAAATACTAAAAAATTGAATAAGAAATATTTAAGTGGGGCTCCCATACGTTTTACGGATAAAGGTCCGGAACCGTTGGTGCGCGAGCCCGACTCACACTTGGCTGGTTTTTTTTTTCTATAATTGTGCCACTACAACAATTTTGTTTGTTTCGTCAGTAATAGGTATACGCTTACATACTTACTATTGAAATAATTACACGCTATTTACTTTATTTTTTTATCTACACATTAATTAATACGCTTACATACTTACTATTGAATTTATTACACGTATTGTAGAAATTAATATTAAGATCAGTGAAGGTACAAGAAAATTGACATTTGTTTAACTATTCTGCTTACGTTTGTGTTAAAACTAACTACTCACTTTAAAATTAAACGCCGCGCATTAAGTGTCTGCGAGTTTGTGAATATAGTCGGGCAAAATTATGCGCTGATTTCCTCCTTGTTACGAATGTCATAAACTGCCACTAGCATTTAATGAATAATTATGTTATAGTCGAGTATCTGACGGCAAATTTAAATTAGTTCACGTGACGAAATAACCAAACGACCGCCAAAACATTGAACGTTTCGTCATTCCGCCAAAAGCAAACGAATTTTACAAGCAAACAAAAACTATATATCTTATAGGACGCCATGCGGCAGTTTCCGCCGTTACACGAATGAGACACGCGTCGGAAGCACCACATTCTCACCGAAGAACATATAGAAGTTTTTTTTTTATGTGAAAACTTGCCAAACGAGCAGACGGTTCACCTGATGTTAAGTGAATGCCGCCCATGGACATTTGCTACACCCGAGGGTTACAGATGTGTTGACAACCTTTTGGAAATTGGACTCCGCCTACCTCACTCACCAGACGAAACGCGAAAGTATTTGTACTTCCACTTTACGCTGGCCTTATGTGAGGTCGTGGTACTTACCCGGACGGGCCTGCCCATTCGTGCAACAGCCGAGGCCGCTGCGTGGCCCTACCATCGTACTTTTACTTTTGCATTATATGGGGACCACTCTCGAAGAGGTTGGCAACCCAACTGCAACTCCGCAAACTCCTTAAGTACCATGGAAATTATCCAAATCACATGAAATCTCTGCCCGTGAGTCTACTTATCCCATAAAATTACTACGTGCGTAGTATTAGCTACAAACCAGCAATATTGTAGTCAAAACCATCATAAGGATTGACCCGTTCCAATGTGAATTAACAAACACAACGAAACAAACGCGCACGCTTCGAATATACAACCTTTTTGGAGCCGAGTTAAGAGACTCATTTTACACGGATAATAGAACGCAAAAGACGCGGTGACGTATTTTTATACGGACGCCCGTGGCAATGACCGCCGGCGGCTTGTCGGTTCACGGCCGTTTGGAGCAAACCGCGGCCTCCGTCCGACGGCCGGCCTATACCCCGTCCGTTGGCCCACGGCGAGCCCGCTGCCGATGTTTGACAAAATGCACTCTCCCGATTCACCCTGCGCCGTGCCGCGTAATAAATAAAAGTCCATGACGGGGCGTAGGGCGCACCCTCACACGCGCGCTGACGCACACCAACGCGCCGGGGCGGACGGGAGGGCGCTCCAAACACTCGCTCAGTCTCGCGCCGACCGCTGCCGAGGCCGGACGTCCGCTGTGCGACGCGATCGGGAGAATAAACTAGTTGCACACCGAAGACCGCCGTACTAACAGTGCGTTCGTTTATTGTTTCGAAATCACACGTGCGTTTGTGGACTGGCTACAACTGTGGAATTGCGCCGCCGGTTGGTATCAATTGTTGTGCTTGTAGAGATTAGTGTTGTTTACGTTCGCCGCGCGTTGTTTTCGGTTATTTGTGTTTTTTGTCGTTACATCTTATTCGGCTTCCCCTCTCCCGGAGTATAAATACGTTCGGACAGTTGACTTGACGCGCCTTATGATTCACAGGGCGGCACATTAATAAAGGTTCGTTTCTATTTTCAGATAAACCGTACGATTCGATCGGGAGCCGTTGACTTTAGTAAAACAAAGGCATAGTTTGTGTCGAGGTGAACGCGCTGCGGTAAATCATATTCTACAGGTACGTATTTGAATTTGTGCGTTGCAACCGTCCTAAAATTATGATTGTTCCACGCGTGTGTCTCGTTGTGTGTGAATAATTGCGTCCGTGTGTCTGATGTCTTGCTGTGGCATTAACGATTGTGTATTTCCCTATTTTGGGTCGGTGACCTCGTTGCGTTGTATTCTATGTAGGTAGGTAGGTAGGTCTATACTTTTTCGATTTGCCAACGTCTTACGTAAGCCGGCCCGGTCATTGTAATTAATAATTGTGCCGCATATAAAGCCGCGAATAGGAGCGCGCTTTGCGCCTTATATAATTTTGTAACCTTTTGTTTGACATTTGATCAGGCCTTCGGCAAGCCGATTGTGTTACCTGTTGCTCCAACACGTCTAAACGCACGCATCGACTCTTGCCGTTCGTGTATGCAGGCCTTATTAAATTTGTAATTCTTAAGTAATCACAAATTGTAACATGCAAGTGATTGCGATGGAATGTACGAGTACTACTAATTTTCTTGTAACGTATTTTATATTTGTCGAGTTAGTTGAATCATTTAAAGTTTATAAATGTAGTTAGTTGAATCAAATAAAACGTTAAAAAGTATTTTGTTTGATCCATAAAGAAAATGTATAGAAAAGGCAAGAGTTGTCAGATAAAAAGAGGGTAGATTTGATCTGGGATAAGTGATTACTTTAAAACTTAGTTTTATAAAACACTGGTATTGTTTCTTTTCTATTTTCTGTTTTATTTAGAGGTTATTTATATGCGACAGCAAAGGCTTAAGCCCGGATAAATGGTTTGTAGCCTTTTAGTAACACGTTCCATTGCTCTTATTGTCTTAATAACTTAATTGACATTATTGTTTCTTGCGTGTACTATTTCGGGTCTATTAATATTAATACATACCCACATCGTCAGCAGCCATTTTGTATACAAAATGTCACATAAACCCTCCAAATTTTCAAAGCTGTCATCTATTGTATAATGTTAACCTCAAATGTACTATCATCTATTGTAATGGAAGTAACAGTCATTGTGATAACAGTTTGCTGGCAAGCAGACAGGCTTAGTAATGGTTTGTTCCGAAATAACTAAACATTGTTTTCGTGGCCGATTTCAAACGGTAGCATGGTAATGGAAGCAATTTTCGTTTGGAAGTATCACTTCTAGAGTGTCACCTCTTTTTGATTCTTTCTTTGTCACACGTTTTAACTGTCTATAATCTCAAAGCGGCATCGCACTGTAAGCGGAAGTAATCGTTTAAGACGTTAATTCTTGTTGATTTAAAAACAGCACCGCAACCATAGTTCAACGACATCATTTTAGCAATATAAGTGATAAACTGTACATTAACAATACAACACTAACTAGCATCATTTAAAATTTCATTAAAAAAATCCATGTGATCTCAAGACGTTTGAACGAAATGAGTAGATGTTTCTTTCGGATGTTATAAGTCAAGATTTAGGGTTCCGTACCCAAAAGGTTAAATCGGACCCTATTACTAAGACTCCGCTGTCTGTTTGTTTGTCTGTCTGTCCCTGTCCGTATATCTGTCTGTCCTTCTGTCTCCAGGCTGTATCTCATGAACCGTGATAATTAGACAGTTGAAATTTCCACAGATGATGTATTTCTGTTGCCGCTATAACAATAAATCGTGGGCGTAGAAGGAAAACCCGCTTAGTCCATTTTTGGCTAAAAATGCGTTTTTTGCGTCCACATAATGTTTGGGGGGTTCTGCTGTAGAGTACCGGGTCTCCATTAAAAAAAATCGTTGTCCATATTTCAGGCTAAGTCATTCAGCTAAGTCCTGAAGGAATAATGCGATTTTTCACGACTTATTAAATTTTCAAACCCATTTATCTCCAAATGACGAATTTTGGACTTAGCGGGTTTTCCTTCTACGCCCACGAAATATTAAAAAATAGAATAAAAGATATTTAAATGGGACTCCTATACAACAGACAAATTTTTTTGTTGTTTCTATAGATAATTGTTCGGAACCTTGCGTGCGCTAGTCCGATTCACACTTGGCCGGATTTTTTTTTCAATTCACTTTAGGCGTTTATGCCCAAACTTAGGTCTCTTTAGAATTGCGGTCAAATAAAATAACCTTGGACCGTCAAGAGGTTTTGTTGTTCCCCAGCAGAGCTTTTGTGAGGAGATGTGGGTTGACTTTTATCTTTTTTTGAAATGATCTAAGTCTAAGATCTTTGTATAAATATAGATGAGCTGTCGTAGTTGACAGCGTTACATAACATTTACTTTCATCTCTTTCTAATAACAGGGATAACATAATATGATGGCGATAATGTTATCTGTTTCTTCGCTCCGGTATAAAAGTATGCATTAGTTAATGATTTAAGCTTTTTTGTGCTTGTGTTGGCTCATGAAAAAAATGTCATTGGTCTTACCTACCTCACTTTTTAGGCACCAGCGCACCCTTTCACCGTCTGCGCTATTATTGTATACGATCGTTCCGTCTATTAAAATGCAATTAACATTTTCGTCGGCCCCGACTCCGCGCGAGATTATAACGTTGCAATAAATATAATGATATCGATTTATGTAATTGCATTTGCAATGTAATGGATGTTTTCGAAACGTATGCAGTTTGCATCAGTGCTGGCCGGTGTCGAAAACCCGATATATATTATGTCTCGCATTGATAAATAATCGAATGTAACGAATGTTGCGTTGTGGCTAGGGTGGGGACACAAGTGTTCGATCAAGTCATAACCTGTGTTAGTGAGTTGCCGTTTTCTTTTAGGAAATACCTTACCGCCGCCGACCGCCTTTTACTTACGTCCTTTCTTAAAAAAAACCTGCCAAGTGCGAGTCGGACTCGCGCACAACGGTTCCGTATCAGTCATTATCTAGAAAAACGACAAAAAAATTATGTTCGCTGTATGGGAGCCTGGCCTAAATATTAATTATTCGGTTATTTAGTGTTATTCGCCTTTGTACATGTTTTGTGTCATTTGTTCCAACAGTTTATTTTATATTGTGTGTACATTAAAGAAATCAAACAAACAAACAAAACACGGTTCGTGAGATACAGCCTGATGACAGGCGGACAGGCGGAAAGACAAATAGACAGCGAAGTCATAGTATAGGGTCCCATTTTACCCTTTGGGTACGGAACCCGAAATAAAGGCTAAATGCGGCCAATTTTAATTCCTCCTTAAAGCAAATTGTCTCAAATTTGACTGCGTCCTTGCTTTCGTTAATAAACCAAAAAGAGGTTATCGGTGAGATTTGAAAATCGGCCCGGAATTCGGTCTGGCCGAAAAAAGTAGGCATTACCTAGAGGTCATATTGAAGTTCGATACTAGAATGTTAGCATGACGTCTGAAATTGCCAAATGACTTGCAACGCGTCGAAAGAACACGGATTTTCAAGTGCAAACCGTGGTTGTCCTGCGAATATAGAACTTATATAGATAAAGACTTTCAGAGGCATCAAGGCAAAACTAATTGTAAAAATTATATCTATTTCAAACTAGATGCATCGCAAATAAACTCTGTGGATATTTTTACTGAATTTATTAATGATGCTCTTGATATTCTTAATTTAAAAGCAAATAACTTAAATAAGCAATATTATCCTACTATTATGTTCCATTATTGGGCAAAGGCCTCTTTCTGAGGGTATTTGGACTACGCCCTACTCTTATGTAACAGCCTCAAGCACCATTGTGACTCAGTTATAGCCCTTTCTCTAGCTTAGAGGCCAACCGCCGTCTACAGTTTCCGCCCTCTATTGGCTATTCAGTGATTGTTGACTGCTAAGTTCCTTATGAGCGAGAACGTTTCTAGGATTCGAGGCTGGGCTTTGAACCCGGTCACTTCCCGACATTCCTAGATAATGGTAACGACACACTTGTTCCATAACCTAAACTCACGGGATCTTGAAACAGGTCCAAATTAAATATTACTAAGATGGCTATGGCTTACTAGAGACGGCTAGGCGATTCTCCTGTTTTTAAGTAATTCATTAGGTTGCTTTTGACTCTCACTCATCGGCAGAAATTCATAGATATAATTACTTTCCATGTAATTATTTTACGGTACATAATTCTCATCCTCCTGCCTTTGTCCCAACTAAGTGGGGTCGCCGCAACATGTGAATAATTTTGTTGAAGCCGGGAATAATACAAATGTACAATGAAAATACTACTGTGTTAGAAATACTTGTCCCGTGTGGAAATGAACATACGCCCGCAGCCGCCAGAGCCATTGGCTTAACAACTGCGCCTCCGTACAAAAGGCCAAATGAAAGTTAATTTCTAACAGTGACTCGAAGATATTCACACAACATCGTCTTGACGGCTACATGACGAGCCCGTTACTCGCACAATCGTTCCACTATTTGCTGTGACGTGCGCCGATGAGGTGGTCATCTGGCAGGCTGGGAGTAGGAACCGTCTAGCAATCGGAGGCTATGTCGTCCCATCGCTGGTCACCAACCACGAATGGCGGCAGACGTAACAGTTCATCGCGTTTAGGAAACACCGTTAGTTAAAGCTGAACAGAAAAAAATATCAAAAGCTCCCATTAAACCGTAATTAGTGTTTCGGAACTGGAATACGAACGCGCGGCACAAAATAAACACGCGAGACTAAACAAAAGAACATATTTTAATGTTAAGTGCCGCACCGCTGAAAAGTAACTGGGGCGCTAGGTTTTTAATTGGAACGCTTTATATAACAGATAGGGGGGCAATAAAACAACGGATAAAGTTAAAAACATATTATCCATATTAAGTGGCTGTCATTAAGTTAAAGGTTCAAGGCAATTTTGTTAGAACTAGGTAATACTTTTTTAAGAAACAAGACAAGACATATTACTTTTTTAGGAAACAAGACAAGAACAAGAGCACACTGCGTGGTTAGACGGGCCCTTGAAGTAGCATAGACCAACGGAATACTGAATTTATTATCTTTAATGCTCTCGCTTTTCATCTGGTGAGGTATCCGGATGTTACCTCACCCGATCAAATGTGAAGACGTGAAAGGAATAAAGCTGCTTGGCAAATTTACAGAGTACCGTCCTATTGAATGTCTGCAAGGCAACTGTTGTCAAGATTCGCTACTCGATTAACTTAGAGTGAACCGCCGCACAACCTTTTCCCATAAGTTATGACATCAGAAGCGAAATCCTGTTTAGGACGTATACGTAAAGACGTATGGTACGGACGTCATGTGTGCGGGAAGATAGCCGAGAAGTCTCAGCGGCTACTTCCAACTTCATG